TAAAGAGCTGACATTTTGAGTGTTAGTGATTGTATTGCTCTGACAAAGGGCTTATACTGGAAACATCATCAACTCTTTCACATGGCCAATTTTCATCATCAATTCAGTTGATAATACTAAATTACCCTTTTACCCTCTCTTACCAATACAGCACCACAGTTTCTTTAGAAACTTACCCCCTTTTATTCATTCACCCCAGTTTCACCTTAGTTAATACAGCCAGTTAATACTGGCAGGAAATGGTTTGAACATAGGAGTGTCACTACATCTTGCGGTACAAAAGGTGAAGGTGGTTCTTAACCCTTTAACTCCCAGATCAAATTTGTAATTCTCCTTACTGTCAACAATACAATTCTTTTAATGTTAGTTCACAGAATTTGGCATTGGATCAACTAATTATCTCCAAATTGATCTTTTTCTTTATTCTCATCACTTATCTGGTTGATACTGTATAGATATTTTAAAGAGAAATTCTGTCTTGGTCACTCATTGGAGTTAAAGGGTTAAACATACTGTTCTTAGTGAAACTGAAGGACTTGAAGCCTACTGCTGTTCACGTTACAGTTAATTTAACTGGAAAGGACACTAGGTGAAACATTTACTTTAAAGAAAGAAAAACTATTTGGCACCCTGTAGGTGATGATGCATGAATGGGAGGTTCATTTTAAATTACATTTTCCTACTGCCTTGAAAGTGACCTTACAACTTGAATTTGTCAACCATCTTTTTTGGCAGACAGCAGCTTCCAGTGTTCTTGAGAACTTGGTTCATTTAATAGGGTGCCACTTTGGTATCAGGGGCTCATGTGTCTAAGTCAAACTCAAGGCTGAATCTCTCTTCTTCTTTTTGTGAAACATTTATTTGTGGGTCATTTTTTGTACTCAAATTTCAAAAGTTGGTCTGATTAAATAAAAGGAATTTAACCCTTTAACTCCCAAGATCTTATTAGTAATTCTCCTTATTGTTTGCCAAATGATTCTTATTATCTTAGTTTGGAGAATATGATATCAGATCAATTAGTAATCCCATAATTGATATTTTTCTTTATTCTCATCACTTGTCTGCTTGGTATTGTAGACATAGTATGGAGAAATTCTTCCTTGGTCACTTATGGGAGTTAAAGGGTTAAATTACAAATCTTTTCCTAATATTCACTCTAAGATTTTTTTACACCATCATGCACAACTTTTTACATTGCTTTTGATATAATTTGTATTTTTTTTTTTTGACACCACATGAATTCTTCCTCTGTGATTTTTCTTTTAGGAACAAGAAAGGAAAAATAGTGAAGCCTGCTCCCTTTCAAAGCTCTGTTGCTTCAGGAGAAGTGGCACGAGTGGCTCCAAACAGAAAATGGTTTGGTAAGTACATTTAGCTCTACATGCTTTGGACTTAAAATTGGTAGCCACCTGATTCACTTTTCCCATCATCTCAAATGAATTTCCCAACATTTTGAGCTCATTTTTAGAAATTCTGGCTGTGTTTTTATCCATAAACGGTACAAGATTTTCCCACACAGTAGCTGAAAGTTTCAGTCTTACTTCTCCTTGTTTAGCTCCCTTCCCTTCAGCTAGAGGAGTACCGAGCAATCATAGAATACTGGTTTTAGGTTACTCAGTGATGGGTGACCTGAATAACTGGGAAACAAGATCAAAAAAGAGCATGAAAAGAACTTTGTTTGAAAAGTTAAGAGCCAAACTTTGAAAGTTTCAAAAGACCTTTTCATAAACCACATCCTGAGTTAAGAGGTTCAGATCCACTCTGATTACTTTCAGGTGCTTTTAAAGCAAAGAAAGATCCATAATGGCAACTCTTTGATGGATCAATTGACTTTTTGAAATTTTGCTCATGGTTTAATTGGGTAAGGGTGGACTGGTGGTATGGAGGATCAGTTCAAACTCTTTGCCATTATAACCATTCCCTTCCTTGTTTTGATCCTGTTTCCTGATTTCTTTCCTATTTGCCACTGAAGAACCTGGACCTAGGCAACATTTGGTTGTACTCTTTAATGAACACTGTGCTTGGCTCATACCTGTTGTTTAGCTCTTTCTAGGAAGTTGTCCACTCTTATAATTTCCAGCTTTAGAGACAATTTTAAGCCACACTATTTTATATCATTTTTGCAATAGTTGTTATTATAACTGTAATGTTTAATTGTACCAGTAATTTTTTTTCAGAGGACAAGGATTTATTTATTATGACAACATAATTTGCCTGTTTACTTTCCACGAGTGTGAAATAACAATAGCTGCAATTTATATCGTAGGTTTAGCAGCTTAATGACACTTGTAATGTTAAAGATCAAATTACTTCTTGCAGAAAATTTTCCCCTGGCTGTAGTTTTTTCATTATAAATGGTTTTAAGCTGTTTCATGACTAAGAAATTAAATGATTGAATTTAAGAGAAAAGTCAAACATAAATAAAATTATCCTTAATCTTCTTTATTTATCTAATTTATTGTAACAGGAAACACAAGGGTGATATCACAAAATGCTTTGCAATCATTCCAAGATGAAATGGGAAAAGTTCTCAATGATCCGTACAAGGCATGTTGTAAATGGCTTAGTCTCATACAGTACTGTTAATATGTTACAGAATTTGAGATGGATGTTGTACATTTGTTATTTGTGTAGAACAAAAAGATATATGATATTCACTTGAGGACTTGAAATCCTAGCCAGGTCTGATTTGTGACATGTAGATGTTCTACCAATCAAGGTACAGGTGATGTGATAGCAGGCCAGGTCTTGTAGGTTCACATACAAGACACTATTGTTTCATATTCAGTTAGGGTTGGTTAGGGAGAGAGCATGTTGTGTGAAGATGAGAGAAGATGGTAAATTTTCAGTTGATTGGCGAGGTAGGTCCAATGCAGTATTCAAATGTGACAAGCATCCTCAACGCTGCCGAGATAAGCAGCCATAATGTTAAAAGCCCCCCTTGTAGTTAATTGCATGTTTGTTAAAGATCAACTTACTTGTCCCAGTTGGTTAAAATAATA